GCTTTGTTCGTTTCTGTTCGCGGTATTGTTTATTTTTATATTTATTTGATCTTTTCTACTGTAAACTGGCTACTTTTATACTGACTACGATATTCCCGCTTATTCTGTTGACCCCTTCTCTGTCTTCTGGATTCCCGTTTGCTTATTATTTGGATTTTTAATTGCCCCGGTCGGATATCACGACATTTTGTCAATGTAAGTAAATCTTTTCGAAAACTCTATTCACTGCTAAGAAAGAAAGAAAGTAAAACTGAGAGATAAGTTAATTACTTATCTCATTTCTTTGAGTTTCACCGGAGTTGTTGATAAATAATACGTGTTCTGAGATTCATTAAATTAATAAATAGTTCAACATTGTGACCGGTGACATTTGAAAATGCTCTTTATCTCATTTTAAAATGACTACTTTTTGTTAGTTAAATTCTCAACAGTGCAACTCATTATTGGCTTAATGCGTAATCGTCGCGAAGCTAATAATTAATAAGAAGACAAAAGTCACTTTTCTCTTACACTTTCTATTCACAAATTGTTGTTCATTTGTCATTTGATTTCAGATATCATGGCATGTATGAATTGCCACATACCGTTGAGGCAGAATATACAATTACATGAATACAATGTTACTAATCTAAGTTCCGAACTTGTATCTATTGTTGAAGAATGGTGTGGTCTTGAGGTAAGTGCAGATTATTTAAATAGCATAGTGTATGTACTCCTGTTTGTGATATAGAGGACCATTTAACAATGCTATAAAATTCTTATAACAGGTGTCTATTAATGATCAATTATGTCAGGCATGTCTAATGCTTGTGATAAGAGAGGCAGCTAATCGTGATAAGGACCCTAGTCATCACCCGGAGAGGGAGATTGGACACTCCTGTGTTTATGTGTGCTGTGGAGTATCACTATCTACACAAAGTGAGCGGCGTCATCCCAGACTGCCATCGAGGAGTGTAGCACCTAAATTATATAGAGAACCAAATATTTCCTTGGATGGTATGTATGATATTATATTTTAGCTATTTGTTTTTTTGCATTTTATATTATTCAGATTTGATTTGTAACATTAAAATTAGGTATATTAGAATGTTTATAGGTTTCATTTCTATAAGAAGAGATCTTTAAGACAACCTTTTGATGGACAGGCAAGACTTAAAACTTCTGAAGAAAGTCATTGGTGTACTTTTTCTTGAAATATTAGACCAATAGTTTATATATTATTTTTTTAATGTCTGATTAACATAGAACAAAAAAATAAAACATTTCCTTAATTTTCAGGTTTATGCAAAAGCTTGGGTATGCCATGCTTGCTGGATGAGAGCCTATGAAAACCATCCATTACAAGACGACATAATTGAAATACCTCCAATTGCATTCGTCGAGTCCCCATCTGACAGGAATGCATTTCTTGTACTGGATCCAGTGGAGTTAGATTCTTCGGTTCCAGCAAGTTCAGTACTGCCTAGTTCTGAATCAAGTTCTTGGGCTGGAGCTGGAATAGCAAACCCATCACCAAACCAAAATCTTATGGAATTACCAAATTATAGACGCATATTCGATTCACCAAACCACTGCTTCTTTTTTAGATGGGATATTAATTACAGAAGACGAAGATGAATAAAATGTGATTATTTTTAAAATGTTTTATTCTTCCTGAAGTATTCCTTTCTCAAAATCATTACTGGAATTTGCAATCATAATAATTCTATGTATTGAAGGTTCCTAATGGTGATTTTCTTGTAGTTAAATGTCTTATATATAAGATAAATTGAAAGCTTGTAAATTATATAAACAAATTGTCATTCAATAATGTTATTACCTAGGCATCAAAAAATATTTTTTTAATGATATTGTTTTATTTAAAATCTTCATCCATAGTTAATAACAAAGACATAAAAATAGATAGTGGTTTTCACCACATTTATGGAGTACTTTAAGGAGTGCTGTGTGTATAATGTAATAAATATATTTCAATAATTTTGTGACTGTCCTCCATTTTTAACTCTATCGAATATATTTAGTTACCTATGTTTATAATTACAATAATCAATTAGATTTTCACTTAATTGGCAAAAATGCCTAGATACGAGATATTAACCATTTGTGTATCATAAAGCTAATGTTTGGCGGGAAACCTTGGATCTTCATTTTGCTATTTCAAAATGCCGTCGGAGTAGACTTTGTGTAATTACTAATTATTTTTATACACAAGCATTCGAATTGACTATCAGCTAACGACGAATCATTGAAATTAAGCTTTCTATAAATCACTTCACATTTGAATGCAAGCAGAACGCATGTATTCTTCATATGTTCTATTTTTATTTAGAATATAATTACTGAAGACATGGCTGTATGGGCGTGATTTCTTTGCCATCGCTTCAAATAAAACAGCACAGAAGTACTGGAGTGGCCAGCATAAAGACAAAATGAAAAACTTCGCTTGTAATTTAAAAATAAACGGAGGTAAAATAAAAATTGAAATTCATAGGACATTCTAGAAAAAAAATCAGCTTTTCAATGATATACTTCTCATGGCTGCCGGTTTTTGACTACCACTTTTATACCGTCTCCATGAGAAGACATGCTGAAACAAAAAAGTACAAACAAAAAATGCAAATTCTATCCGACAATCAAAAGATATCATTTTAAAAACCCAAAATACTCTTTCAAAAATCTACTACAACCACAACCAAACATCTTCAGTTTCGAAATTAGTAAAGACAATATTGCCATTTTTTTTTAATTAACAAAATTTTACTTATTTGGAACGACTGCGGGGTACAGTCATTTCTGTAGCATCTCATACATATTCACTGATTTTTTATTTAAATAAGGATTTTTTTGTTGTCTGAGATGTAACTGTAATTTAGCGGATTTTGGTGTATTTTATTAAATCAAAATTTTTGAAATCTGGCGACATTTTACCTTTGACTTGGTGTCTTAAAAAAATCCATGGTGGCAACACTGGTCAGATGTGCTGTGAGGGATATAACTGTACCTTACAGATCTCATGCCTAACCTCAAAAAAGAGATCAAGACCGAATGGCTCGACCACTGGAAGATATCTCTGCACGAGAAAGGAAAATGGCTTGGAGATATTCAAAAAGACATACGTGCCTCCTGGTTTGATAAAGGACAGTACAGACAAGAGATTTTTATACTACGATATGCAGACTTAGAATAGGTCATTGCCTTTTTAAAGATCACCAGTACCGGCTCAAGATGGTCAGCGCACCTGTTTGTAACTTCTGCAACATAGATAATCAGTCCCTGGGCCATATCTTTTTCTTTTGCGATTCATTTCAAGTACAGAGAAATTTGCTGCTTCAAGACCTTCGAAGTACATTTGGCGAAGAAACCATCCCGCACGACTTGAGAAAACTTTTACAAAATAAAGACACCTACATTCCTTTATACAAATTTGTAAAAGCTACAATCAAAACACTTTAAAAAAAAAGTTAACAGACAGGGCTGTATGGACTCAGAATCCTTTGCCCGTCTCAACAGGGACAAATTGACCAAAAAAAAATTGGTGTGTATTTGTCTGTTGTCAAATAACAAATTCCGAAATCGAAATGAAAGAAATCTTGATCAACGGGAAATCAAATTACATTATTGAAATTTTGGGTTGAGCTGAACAACACAATCGATAAAAATGAATCCAATGACGTACGAACGATTCAAATAACTTTTCTTTATACATTGACTGGTGGAGTAAATATGTAATGGTTTTAATTTTTGCAGCAATGTCAAGAATGTACTCAAACTAAGTGAGCGTGAGCTCTCCGGTAATTCCAAAACTTCATGGCATGATCAATATAAAGACAGTGCGTGGGTATTTGTCGGTGGCTTGCCTTATGACCTGACAGAAGGCGATGTTATTTGTGTGTTCTCACAGTAAGAATATTTTTTATAGTGCTAATTTTAAGTTTTACTTTAGCTTGGATATTAGACAACAAGGCGGCTATAAAACTGTAAAATAAGCAAACCCTAGTGGAGAGGTCCTAACTACAAAATGTGTAACAAAATACTTTAAAAAACATATTGGTAAGAGGAAAAAAAAGGAGTTACAGTATAAATAGTTTGGGAATTGTTTAAATTGATTAATCTGAAATATTACAATCATCAGATCTATACTAAATCCATCATTTGTTTATGTTTCAGATATGGCGAAATTGTTAATATCAATTTGGTCAGAGATAAAGAGACTGGTAAATCAAGAGGATTTGCCTTTATTTGTTTTGAAGATCAGAGATCTACTATTCTTGCTGTGGATAATTTGAATGGAATAAAAGTCAGTGTACTGAGATATGATTTGGCCTGTTTCTGAAGCAATTTTGGATAATATTACACAACTGTTTTAGATCCTTGGACGTACAATAAGGGTAGATCATTGTGAGCAATATCGAGCTCCTAATGCTGACATGACCAAGGTGGACGAAGTGACTGCTGCTGTGAGGACTGAGGGCTGTGCCCCCCCACCAAATGTAAAAGTAGACCCTATAGTAAAAGAGGTAATTTATCAAAATCAGTTCTCACACCTAAATATTTTAATTAATACTGAGTGTAATACTAACCCCCCCTTTATTACTATTATAGGAGAAACAAGTTAAGAATAAAAATAAGGAGAAGAAAAGTAAAAAGAAAAAGAAGAAGAAGAAAAGGAGTAAAAGTTCAAGCTCTGACTCTGAAGCCAGTAACAGTTGATTTATAGGAAATACAATTAAATGAAACAATAAAGACCTCTTAAACACAACTGCTGTTATATATTTCTCAACATTACTTCAAACTTAATCATGATGCCAAAACACATTTTATAATCATAGTTATTTCATTAATGGAGACTAGACAACAGAGATCTGATTGTAATAATAAATTAATTCTTAAAAAAGTAGAATATTTCCCACATACACATTGATTAGATAAAAGTAATGAGATGGAGGTAACAATGATGTTAATAATAGTGACTTAATTATATCTAAAAATTTAAGGTAAGTTTATACAAAGGCTTTTTTAAAGTCATTGAATATAACATCATTAGCATAGGCAATAATGCCATCAGAATTACAATACTGTTGATTATCATCACATTCAGGAATATTATATTTGATGCATTTATTAAATTTAAATGTTTTAATATCACCACCCTTTGCTTTCAGTATTGCATGAGGAGCACAAGTATCCCAAAGAAATGTTGTTCCCTTTGAAAGCACATAACCAATTGCTTCACCTGTAATCAGAAATAACACTGAAAAAATATAGGTTTCTTATCAAGGAGGAACTTGTGTTTTCATGACAATATAACCCATACCTAAGGCAACTTTCATAAGTTTGTTACCAGCTCCAGGTGCAGTATCTATGTTGAATGAAGAATTCAGAAGCTTCTGTTTTATTTTGGATTCTTCCGCATTACTCATAAGTATAACTTTAGTGGTGCTGGTCTCCTCAATGTGATTTCCTCCCCACTTGTGAAAACCATCAAAGCTTAAACCCCACATAACCCGCCCTTTCCCACTGAAATATTTTTAACATAAAGTCAATATCTTTAACATTATGTAAAATAAAAATGAGATTTCTATTTCGTGAATTAACTTACTTTTTATAAAATGGCTGATTGATAACACCTAGTACTGGTTCACCTGTTGTTCTAAGGTATGCCCCAATCAGGACAGTTACACATTCAAGACCAGCACCAGGTTTTGCATTACCCTGAACTCCAGCTATGAATTCTGCTGTTGCATCTATGCAAAATTAATGCTTCGATTTAAAATATTATTATCTCCCATTTTTGACATGTGGTTTTGTGAACAATAGTGAGCAATCCTCCTCCCTATGTCGAAAATTAGGAGATAATATTCTAAATCACTTCCAAAATTAATGTATATCTCAACATAAATGAAACTATAATGCTTGCGGGACTTACCTATTGGGTCTATCCAGACACCTAAGTTGGTAGTATCTACTTCTGGTAGACCATCACATATTAGAGAGGAATAATCATTTTGGACATCACTGTGAGCAGCTTTTGCCATTTGTGAAGCTAAATTTGCTGTGACAACTGATTTTAGAAGTTTTTCTGTTTCAGCTTCAGTATTCAGTAGTTTAATTTCATGTCCACATATTTCTGCACATTCTTCACCCCTGACGTTATCCTTCAACTCTGGATAATCTTTGATTATGATAGATCTTGCAGTTTCTTGAGCTAAGACGTCAGCAATTGTTTTAAAATCTTTATCAAATCGTGAATTTGCTTCGCTTTCACATTTTTCAGCAACCAAGAGTGAGTCGCTAATGTCACTTAGTCCAACACAAGATCTTGCAATGTTTGCAGCTTTCTCAGAAGCGTTCAATAAAGTTTGCAGAAAATCTCCCATTTCCTTTTATTTATATTTTACAGCTGTGGTGTAAACACTATGACTTGAAAACTTTCTACGTCATTATTATGTGTTCTACTTAATTAGTTTAAAGAATAAAATCAATACTTGGTGGTATAAATATAGATTTTGCAAATCTAAGGCGTTTTCTTACTACTGACTGGTGTATTGATTTAGGGCGCTTTCAATTTATGATTTTCTTGACGGCCTGCTGCGGTGCCGAAGCGGTGCGTTTGTCGTACAGCGTACGGACGATCCTTTTTTTTCATACAAAACGCGCGGTGCGGCAACAGTCCTGTTGTCGAGCGTTCGCGGTACCGGCGCCGCATTGAAAAAAAGGATCGTCCGTACGCTGTACGACAAACGCACCGCAGCAGGCCGTCAAGAAACGCATAAATTGAAAGCGCCCTTAATCATTCGATTGTAAATAAATAATGCGCCCGATTTTCATTTTTTTTTTACCTGATCCTTTCCTAAAAAAATCCGTTCCTTTTTTTATCCTGTTTCCCTACCTTAACATTTGTATGTGGCTGACGCACAAACCCTGCAGGCTATAAAGGAAAAAAAAATTTGGTCTTTTACTAGCACAGACTAGTTAGAGATACTACGTTTTACTAGGTTGCTAGAATTAGAAATATTTAGGTTTTTACATCTGCAATTTATGTAGTTACTACAAATCTGCTACTGCTGTCTAAAATACTTAATTTTTGGGGGACACTGCTGCTGAAAAGTTGTAGGTACCCCCCTAATAAATTAATTATGACGGCAGCAACGCCCGACAATCCTGACAATTTTGATCAGGTATTTTGTTTCGCATTTTTTATGCTTTGTGCTTTCTTCCTACCAATTTATAATAACAAGAGAGTCGGGGAGACCTTCCCCTCCCCCCCACATCAAAACTACCCCGGAATTCAACCACAACTAATGGAATTAAGTATAACACGCTTTATTCTATGCCAGAATAACTTTGAATTCACATTTCAAAATTTTGCAATGTTGCAGTTTGATGAAGAAGAGTCTGAACAACAACTAGGAGCAACTGCATCTGGGCGCAAGAGACTATTTAGTAAAGAGCTAAGATGTATGATGTATGGATTCGGAGATGACCAAAACCCTTATACAGAAAGTGTTGACTTTTTAGAGGACCTAGTAATTGAATTTATCACTGAGACTACCCACAGGTACTTATATTTATGTAAGTGTAGGTTTAACTAGATTCTGTTAAAGGTAATTCTTTTGTGACTACTAATGGAACCATAACAAAAATATACGTTTCCTTTCAAAGCTAGACTGCCATAGCTTCTTCCACATGAAAGCTTCAAAATCTAAGAAAAATTAATTATAATTGAAGTCCAGGAAACCATTAAGTAGCTTTTGCGCTTTTTAAGATCTGACAGGCAGGAACTAAATACTTTACATGGCAGATGGTAATGTACATCAAACGTAAGTGCTATAATTTCCTGTTGCTTAATAATTCACCTTATTATTTTAGAGCTATGGAAGTTGGTAGATCTGGTAGAGTACAGGTAGAAGATATAATATTCTTAGTGCGTAAAGATCCAAGAAAATATGCCCGTGTGAAAGATTTACTCACAATGAATGAGGAGTTGAAGAAAGCAAGAAAAGCTTTTGATGAAGTTAAATATGTTGGTATGTTCCTCTTTATGGTTTTATATTATACAGCAGTAATATCAAATGAATATTTTTTTTTACTATTAACTTTGTTTTGCATGATATACATTGTTTTTTTTTTCATAATGATTGATAATTGTTGTGAATGTGTTTTCACTCTTGTATGTGTTTTCAATATTATAGAGGATCAACAGTAACATAGATGACCATACAAGCAACATCATGCTACTAAGACTGATGCAAGTAAAATAATAAGTCATTTAGCTTTTTTTGTGTTGACTAACATTGAAATTAGAGAGATATCAACCAATTGAAGAAGTTAAATAACAATGGAAGGTGAATGGTATATTAAATGAAGTAAAATAATAATTAAATACTTTTTTATTACTTGTTGGTACCCCTCTAATAAGGATTGGATTTTAGCAGCCAATAACTATAATGTAACATTTGCCAAATGTAATAACAATGATTTAATGCATTGAATTGAAAAATAAATTATTAAATTTATGTAACTCTTTTAAAACAAATGCAGTGTGTGTAGGAGAGAGTTTGTTTTATGTTACTTGAAATAAGGTGTGGATGGTTATTTTTTCTCTTAATTTGATACTATACAGGACCTAATTCTGTTAATCTAAAACTAAATATGACATTAGTATATTCTTTAGCAAATCAAAAGAGCAGTCTGCTGACAAATTTAATAATAATAATATGCTTAACAGCACACAACAAAAGACACATAAGACAAGCTTGGAGAATTATCCTGTAGTTATGCGCACTGTTACTTTCTTTGGGACAACTGATAACAATTCATTGTTGTATGATAGGTGGTAACATTCAGTATTTTTATCTTTGCTTCCATATTAAAGATTTCCACATAGAAGAGACCAAAAGCACAAAATGTGGTTTGAAATTGACAGTCTTTATGTGTTTAATATATTAAAAGACATTTACTTTCTCCAAACAATTTTGTAAGCAATTTTTTTTGTTTGATGTCATCATACCTAAGTGTAGAACAACTGAAAATTCAACTGTGACTTTGAAACCACATCTATAAGTTATTTTTTCATGATTTTCTTAAATTTAATTAAACCATATGGATGGTAGGAAGCGGAACTGTTGTAACTCGAAAAATCCGAGTTTAGACCACAGCCAAAAGAAGTTTTAAAAAATTCATAACTCATCTATTTATAAAGATGGAAACTGAAGTTTTGGAACTTGTTTATGTTATATCAAGTCTATATAACACAATCAATAAAATTACCCTTGACTTACTCTTGTACTTGTTTTAGAGGAGATAGAACGGAAACGCTGTATCTGTGAGAGAAAATGTATGAACAGTAATAATCAATCCAAATTTATGTACGTCGTATCTGCTGTAACTAAAAATAAATAAAGAAAAGTTTACTAGAAAAATATCCACACGAACCAGGCAGCAGACGGGACTTTCTAGTTAACTTTTCTTTAGATTTTAACATCTAGCATTTATATGCTAAAAAAATAATAACATGAATAAAAAGTTGTTTATTCTGTAGTATGTTCTGTTACTTCATTTGTCAAATTAAAAATACGATAAATATTTTTTTAATGCAATATCCATTCCTATAAGTTTTTATTGGATCAGCAAGAAGATAAAAAAGACGTTAAAAAGTTCAAAAGTAGACGTCGCAATTTTCTAAAAGTCTAAAAGTCAAAAAATCTTTAATAAAATTGGAAGCACAATACAACTCTGTTGAATCGTCCATATATTTTTTCCCTACCACCAGTTCAGGGGGCCATTCGCCTAACGGAAATGCTTTGGAAAACGCTAACGCTTACGATTTCGTTTTGTTATTTCTAGCCGCCTGAGGTTTTCAAATCTCTCGTGCTCTTTTTTTTCTATTGCATTGGTAATAACTCTATTTAAAAAAACGAGCGTGAGGTATTTGAAAACCTTCGGCGGTCAGAAATAACAAAATAAAATCGAAAGCGTTAGCGTTTTCCTAAGCATTTCCGTTAGGCGAATGGCCTCCAGGACGTTTTTTTACCTTCAGACAAAAACTCGCGAAAAACCTTCACAGCGTTAAATAATTACGTTACGTGGAAAAAGCCTGCCGAAACGTTTGGAACAGTTTACTTTACACCCAAGCATTTTAGAAGCGTACACAAAGACTTTTAAATGAATTATTGATTTTGTGGAGCCTTGTAATTGGTATAGCTAATTTATTTTTATTTTTTAGTATTAAACGAGTGCTTATCACATATGAAATAATTTGGTATTCTTTTGAACATACATTGAATTTTCATAAATGTACTGAGAAGCAACAGACATTATATAGGTACTTTAAAATTTACTCTTAAAGAGTCTCTAGTCTTAAGATTGTAAAATTGAACAGCCCGCTTTTGCAGCACAAAAATAGTTTGAATGTCTCGTTGGAAACAAACGGCATTTCCCCACAGCAAAATACCGTACGATTATGTCGTACGGTATTTTGCACTATGAAAATAACTAATCGAGCCGTATCTAACGTCAGTTAATTGGCGTATCTTCATTCCTGCGTAGGCTGCAGAGCTAAGTCTCTTCGATAATTTCTCAATATGTGGGCCCCACTGAAGCTTCGAATCTAGCGTAATACCTAAGAATACTTAGTGTCCACAAGGTCCATATTCTTATCTTTGATAGTTACACTGGTTTCTCCTTTACATAGGGATTTTTTTTAAACATGTTTTACCTTCATTTTGAAGTTGATTATAATGAATTATTTACCTAATTAATTAATACATTGCAAAAATAATTATTAGCGTTGTAACCAGTGGACTACTTTAGAGATGGCATTATTCACATCGTCAATAAGTGGTTGCTTCCGTTTAATTTAAAATAAAAGTGGAGTATCATCTGCAAACTATCTCGTGATTATGCCTTACAAAGTAAATCAGTACATTTATATAAATTAAAAACAAAAAAGGGCCAAGAATCGAGCCCAGAGGGACATTCATCTTTACTAACGATCCGGGAGATCTTTTGTCATTGATGTCAACTCTCTGGATCCTATCGCTCAAATATGACACAGTGAGATCCAGAGTGCTACCTTTAAATTCATATTGGCATAGTTTCCTGATTCATGTTTCATGAAAAACGCAATCAAAAGCCTTGGACAACTCCGCTTTCCGCCGTCGATTATTTTTGTATTAGCTTGTGGTTTCTTTTATGTGGAAATCTTTAAAATGAACCCAAAACAAAAATACTGCATGTTCCATAAAAAAGGCTCAATAAATATTACAAGATTAGTAATATTTTTAATTTCCACAACAATATTTTTCAATATGTCTAATTGCTTGCACAATAATTTATGTAATTAATTGAGTAAGTAACCATTGAATTAATTAATTACATTTAAAAAAAAATACATATTTTTACAGAATGATTTCACAAAAGAATTATCAAAAATGATACAGATCATGCTCCTATTTCAAATAAAATATTTGGAGGGATACAGAAGAAGAATGAATATGGGCCAAACTATAAGAAACTACATTGCAAAAACCAAATATGCAATTTATGCCCTTATTAATAAACCAGTAGAAGGGAGACAGCAGGGTGAAGATAATTTGAAGAAGTACAACATTCTGAGATCTTAACTCACGTGCTACCTATTTGTTTTCCGTTTAATGTACGTTCCGTTTAACTAGATTTTAAATAAAAATAAAATCTTACTAATTAACTCAGAACACTTCATTTTTCTATTTGGGAAATTAATAAATAAATCTACATAAGGACTTGGTACTACTTCATAACTTCGCGAATATAGAACCGGGAGGGGCTGCCACCATATTTTCTGTACCAACAACGCTGCTGTGCAGTTATATAAATACCATGGGTACATCTTTTTGCCACGGGCGGTCTATTTAGAACCGTAATAAAGTATGGCTAACGAGAAGCAAAACAAAATTTCATTCACCTTTTAGATTAGTCAATGCACGGTCAAAATGGGAAAATCTGGCAATTCTGCGAAATAACACCAATTTACACCAAAATTAGGATTTGAGTTCTACTTACCCTCCATACTACTTCAAAATTGTTAATGTGTCTAGGTTTGCTATTTCCTTAGGCGTGGACCCCACCCCTTCTGGGGGGTGATTTTTTTATTAATAAATATAAGTATGGGAGTGTATAGATTGACTAATTATGAGCAAATTTTGTTCTGTAAAATTTTTACTGTAAGTCAATACTTTGAGTAGAAGCAGGGGCTTTTCACTTCGAACTACAATTATTTGTATGGACATCACAGAACGAATTTTAGATATGTAATATTTCACTAGATGGCGTTATTCAGATCTTTTTTACGTATTATTAGGTATTCCTCCAACTTCATATATTTTTAAACAGTAAAACAAAATTATACCTGTGGCTGTCAGTGACTGTAACAAAAATCAAGAAAGAATAAATACAGCTTATCAGCATATATTATTTACAACAGATTTTATTTTGAAATAATAAACTAAAGAATTGGCTGTATGGGCACAGTACCCTTTGCCTACCCAGAATGGGTAAAGAATCTAAAAAAAAAACTGTTCTCTTTACGCTTCGTGAATTTAATGTTTTCTTGTGATTTTTGGTGGTTTTTCCGACGATTTCAGCTATTTTTCCGGACTCCGATTCTCCTGCTTTTACGTTTTGACCCTTGCTCTTCATATCGGTTATTGATTGGCTTCACTTTTTGGATTTTGTTGTTCTCGAAAATGGCATCTCAGAGAAGATGTTGTGTGCCTAATTGCAACGTAACACGTACGTATTACCAATCAGTTACATATAATTGAACCTCTATAAACAATCCTTTCTTGATTTAACTATTTGACCAAATGTTTCAGGCGCAGATAAAATACCAATGCATTCGTTTCCTAACCCTGACATTCACCCCGATCGATTCCGAACTTGGCTTCCGCTCTCGGAGGAGAGATATTAGCTATATAATTATCTTTTCAAGCAAGGAATAGTTTGTTTGGACACTTTCTCCACATGCTGTCCCAACTTTGCATTTGCCAGGTAAATTGCTGATTTCAAAGTCTTTTAAAACATCGAGTAAAGAGTGTATGTAATGGTCTCTTAATAAAAATCATTGAGTTGAATGTGATTTTTATATAAATTGCTAAATATTTTTTTATTACCCGGATTTGGTGCACCAAGGAGTGTTTTAACGGATGTCACCAACAGAATGAATATTGACCAAGAAATTGAACATTCTCAGCTTTCAATGCCTTCTACATCCACTAGTAAATATTTATTTATTTATTTACAAATAATTTTTTATATCACTGACATTCTGGTAGAGTGGAATGTGCACTGGTTGTCAATACCTACTGTAAAGTTCTGGGTTCGAATCCTGGTAGGGGCAAAATTCTTTTTGAATGTTTGAATGGAAGTATCATATTACAAATTAATAAATCAGTAAAACCATTCCCTTATTCTCTTTTGTTTTAATATAAATTTTTTTTTGCAGGTGGTGTTTTGACTGAAAAGTTAGAATTACAACAAAACGCTGTAAAGCGTCGAAGATACTAAGTAAAAATAAGCTTACCGGTAATTTTTATTTTTATATAAGTATTTTTGTCTATTATAATTATTTGATAACTTTATTAACTTAAATTTAAAAAAAAAAATATCAGAAATATGTTATCTATATTTTAGAGAGCACCTATCCTAATCATCTTTATTCTTTTGTTAGCTTTTTTCTTAAACTTACCTCTATGGGCTTTAGCCATGTTTTAGTTATTAAGTAGACATTACATAATGAAATGAACCTTCCACTTAGTTTTCTTATACTAATAATAATTAGTTAAAAAAAATTAAGACTTCACCTCACAGTGAAACTAATTTTATTGAAATGCTTTTTTTCAGCATCTGCAATGGATCAAAGTGTAACTAACTTAAAAAAAGTGGTGAAGAAGCTAACTGAAAAGAATCTCAAATTCACAACACGGCTAAAGAAAGCAATGAAACTTTTATGATAGATCCGACTTGTAGATTTTTTATATATAACTGGTGTGGTGAGGTAAATTAATTATTAAACGGCACCATAAAGCTGCGTAATTGTACAAATTTTAAAGATGATATTAAAAGAATGTCATGCAAATATTTAAAAATAAAAATAATTGATTTATAAAACTTCTTTATTTATTCTAACAGACTGTGTTAAAGCTACATTTTTAGACAATTATCAAAAAAACTGTGTAAACGAATAGTAGGTAAATTATTAATAGGTAAATTATCTAATAATGTAGCTTTAACACAGTATGTTTTTTTCCTTTTTTCATATTAATAATCGCATCTAAAGGTACCGGTTCAGTAGTACATGACTTGTGATTATGTCATGAATCGCTAGATGGCGCTGTATGCTCAGGTTAACTGATATCTCTATTACTAGTATATAATTCAGTTTAAGGAATTTTTACAGTTAAAGGAAATGATCTTAGTTGTAGCAGCCATTATTATTGATTAGATTTATTTGGCACCTTATCACTCCGGTATCTTCTTTTGAAGTCTACAAAACGTCTAAATGCAACCCCTTCCGGCCAAAATTCGTCATGCATAAAAACGGACATTTTGCTTTTTGGGACGAACACTTTATAAGCATCATATTCTTTTGACGTCTTCATATTCATTTTTTCCAAGTCGACCGGTACTTCAGTTTTATCTCTTATGTAACTCCATAATATCCGTGTCTGTTACATCCTTCGAAATGTTGTAAATATACAACGGAATCCGAACATCTGCCGCTTTAAAGTTGATATTGAAATCCACAACTGCCTTACCTTTATCTATATATATAAAAATGAAACCCGTTTTCCGTTGTCACGACATAACATGAAAACGGCTTGACCGATTTGGCTGATTTTTTTTAAGAATATTCCTTGAAGTACGAGGATGGTTCTTACGAAGAGAAAAATTAAAAAAAATGGCTGGAAATGTCAAAAAACAAAGCTTTTCTTTACTCCCATACAAACGATTCGTAATAATACTTAAAAGTCAATTTGAACTTTAATACCATACCATAAATTTCAAATGTTAGTGGAGAGATTCTGGGAAGGCAAAACAATTGAGCGACGTGATGTCAATAGAAGTTTCGAAAAGATAAATGGCATGCAGGTATAAGAATAATCATAGATGAATGTCATTGTGTATAAAACAAGCCTGAGAACAAAAACTGTAGTCTACGCTTCAGCTCTACACCGAAGCGAAGCGAGGGCGGGCCGCTAGTTACCAATAAATCTGTTCTTCAATCTCTTCTTTTGTACCAAGATCCATTCTTCCTTATTTATTTCTTGTTTCCATTCACCTTTAGACTACTGTCTATAATTCTGTTAATAAGGAACAAAGTCGGTACTTTAACAGTCGGGACCCATTATTGAAAAATATTATGTATTCTTGAATATCTAATGGTCCCGCCTGTTAAAGTACCGACTTTGTTCAACTGGACTTGTTTTTTTCTTTTCAGTTTTTATTTGAAGTATAATTTAGCAGTCGGGTTTTTTGATTTTTTAAATTTACCTTTTTTATTTCACACTTTTTAGTTAGTTAGTATTTTAAGACGGTATATACAGAAGTCCTGTTACTTCAGAAAGGGAATTAATATCGCGGGAAAAAATAAGTACCTTGCGGTGGTCTAAACGATTGATTTATTAAGACATTAGAGACTTTACCTGCGGGGACAGGGCTACAGATGGGCCTCGATTTTCGCAAAAATGTGTGAAGTTAAATTAAGTCGTTACCTAGATATCTAATGTATGTAAACTAGCACTTATTCAAAAAGTCATCTTTTCTTTATGTTCTTTTTAGTAGTTTAGCAGTAAATATAAAATTCATTTAATTTTATCCGTCATTTTAAAAAAAATAAATAAAAAAATTGGCATTGTCATGTCAACGTCCGTCTCTAAGATTGTGATATACACAAATGTAGGTAGTGTCATATCCTAGTCTCGTCATTTGATATACCTACATAATTCACAGAAACCCAATTTGTAGATGCCAGAAGCAAGGGCGGATTCAGCTTTGGCGCCAGGAGGGGGTCATATAGTCGTGGTCAAGTCATAATGGGTACAGATTGTGAAGTGGGTACAGATGGACCCAGCCCAGGGGGAGGTGTCATGACCCCCATGACCCCCCCTCTGGATCCGCCCTTGGCCAGAAGTTAACTTTAAATGTTGTTAATCACCCTATATACAATACCAATCAATGACGTTTATGTCGCAGGTTGAAGAAAGTGGTTCCCGTCTGTTGTTTTGGACAATGGTGGCAACTGCCTTAGATCGCTAAATTAAATAAATTATGCAATCACCAAAGCAAAGTTTATAATATTTGATTAAACTAAAGGCGCATAATGAAATTTTCATAACGTTAGGTAGAGCACCATAGCAATCTCATTTATTATCAATTTATAGTTCTGTTTGTAGTTTTCTTTTAAAGCGTTCACCAATAACAAGGTCAAAGACTTTGTGATCGACCCTTTTTGTTGGTAGTGTAAAGATCGAATGAAGACTACTTCCACCTATCAAGCGTGCTGCTACCAGCCTAGTAGGTATTGCAAATAATGCAATCATGGCAATTATTTTCCAAATATTTTTTTGTATAAAAAAATACCGAATAAGGTGTCACTGTTAAGCACAAATTGCTACGTAACTTTTACAAATGTAGTCAAATAAAGCTATTACTTACTTTATTTTTAAACCTTTTTCATCAATTAAATATCTTAACTAACTATACTAATATTATAAACAGGCAAGATTTGTATGTTTGTAACAAATAAAATCTGTCAAACTACTGAACCGGTTTCAAATATTAATTCATCATAAGGTAGCTACATTATTTATTATTACATTTTTCTTTATTTTAATATATTTTGTCCGAGTGACACAGGCTATATTTTATCCCGATGAAATAAACGTCCGTACAATGCCGGGATGGATCACTAGTAAGTATAATATAATATTATAGATGCGAAAGTGAGTTTGTTTGCTGCGCTTCCGTGCCCTCATAGCTAAATCGATTATAACGAATACCCCTATAGAAGTAGATGGGAACTTGGTTCTTAGCTACAACATCGCAATACTTATAGGCGTAGGGTGATGGAAGGGGTGATTTACCTATAAAACTCTATATTATTTACTTTGAATTTTGCAGAATTATCGTTTATAATTACAAAACCAATATTATCGCGAGTTGATTAATAAATACAGGGATTCCAATAAGTATGTACCTACTAGCGAAAAATGGGTTATTTGTCATTATATTAAGTAACCCTTTTTTTGTAACATTAAGTAATATCGTTAAAAAACAGTATAATTCTGAGTTTTTCATTAAAATTCAATAATCATAAATACCTATTATGATAATTTATTTTTCACTATTCAATAAGAAGGAACTGTATCACAGTTTTATTGTAAGTACTTTTTCTGTTTTGTCTAGGTAAATTAAATTTCTTCTTTTAGTATTCCCGCTGTCTACTCTTACATAGTACACCGCGCTATCACTTTGTCATCGTTGTAACTTTTTAAATATTTGTCGAAATGACATAGTGTAAAAGGCAAGTTTATCGTCTTTATTTAAAGATATAATGATATTTATCAAAAGCGATAAAAGTATTTGTTTTGATAAAAAATAATTTGTTACTACAATTTGGAAATAGATATCAAATAATATTTTAGTTTTGTTTCACTATTTTAGCGGTAAGCTTACACATTAAAAATAAATATGTAGTGTCAGGAACTTTTTTGTAGAACTATTTAAGAGATACATTTTGCACTCTACATTACATTCATGTAACTTTTATTGTTTTTGCAGTGCAGGCCAAAATGGCTCGCAGAAGGGATTTTTTTTCCGTCTTATGTGACACTTATTGTTATATTTTGGCCAATTCACTCAATAACTACATAAATTATTATATATATGTTAATACAATATATAAGCTATGTTACTGTTTCATTAAAATCCATTCAGTATTTTTTAGGTGAAAGAGTAACAAAGATAAGATTAACAAACAAAAACAACAAATATACAACTTTAAAGCGTTGTAGATCCTAACGATCATATAAAATGAAAAATGGTGTTAGGAACCTAAACATGATTTTTGATTATCTAGACAATGATACCCCACTCGACATAGTTTGTCAAGTTTTTTTTTACTTCGTCACAATATGGCGCCTAATTTTCCCCATATTGAATTTTGATTACTATCATATCTTATGTAACACTTCCATACTTGAGACAAATCGATTGATGTATGATTCATGAAAATCGGTCCAGGCGTTTGGTCTCTAGTGTGCCACAAAGGAACATACATACATTTAAAGAGTGTTAAACACTGTACCCTGTCTGCGCGTCGCCCTTCGCGCTCTTGCATTGCGCAGTCGGGTAAAAAACAGAATGTACGAGGTTCGAAAACTGACATACGAGATTTTTAGCTGCTTATGTACGAGGAAAAAAAACTTAGGTTGGCAACCCTGTTAAGTGGTGTTCAAGCACTTCTTGATTAGGACATTTTGAGCGCACGTGGTGATCGTTGGATCGCAGGCCAAACGCGCCATCGAGCGCAGCTGATATGTGGTCTATGATGCTAATACGGTTAAAATATGTGATTTTTATTAAATATAAAAAATAAGTTTTTAGTGGTACCGAAAGAAATCAAAGTGGCTAACTTGGAGGGTATCCGGTTCCGGTGTTATGGAAGTAAAACAGGCTTTACACTGTCCAATCACTACCCAATTTTAAGGACCCGAAAGGGTGGACGTGATCCCTTGCTAGGGTAGTAGCAATTTTACACCACGCCCGATCGCCCTAGATTGGGTCCCTCCCCTTACTCCGTAACTCACATTATTCAGGGACCCCGGTCCCTTAAAATTGGGTAGTGTAAATGTCGCTTATGATATTGCCAGCCATGTCTCCACAAACTGACTGAAGGACTCTGTATCCAGGTCATGAATAAATTAAAATAAAAAAGTCTCCACAAACTATTGAAAATTTGAAAGTTGAAACTAAATGTTTCAGTAGGTACAGGTACTCAGAGGTTATTTCATTGTTTTTAAGTTTTAAATGTAGTACTTATTTGTTATTGTTTTATTGTTGTTCATAATGGAATCACAACCAAGTACTTCTCCAGAACAACCAATAGATGTTAGTTCTCCGAAAAAGAAACGTCCCAAGGTATGTAATACAAATAGAAGATCCCTTAAAAATTTACACGTATTATTTTATTGGTTTTGTTTTTAGCTAATAATTTTGTGAAGTTTTGTGAATTCGTTAATTAGTAGTAAAAAAGAACAACAAAGATATTAGTATCTTTTACAGTAGGTAGGTAATATGTTTTAGAAATTTTTGATCAATACAACACATTTTTTTTTTATTTCAGGTGACTAGCTTTACTGTAAACGAAAAGTTTATGGTAATTAATACGTACAAACACATTAAGGAAAATTGGCCTTCTGATAAATACCCATACAAAACTGAGATGGCACACAAAACTGCTAGAATTTTAGGCATTGCCATTTCATCAGTATACAGAATTCTCAAACATTATAAAGAAAATGGCTATATTTCTTCTCCAGTCACCACGAAATCTAGACCAAAGTTTAGTAACAAAATTGATGATTTCACCAAATCAGCCATACGCAAAAAAGTACATGCTTACTTTTTAAAAGGTGAATTACCTACTGTAAACAAAGTATTGAATGATGTTAATAAAGATGATACATTACCAAATTTCAAACGAACTACTTTCAAAAAAATTTTGAAAATTTTAAAATATCCGTATATTAAGAGACAAATAGGTAAAGCCCTAATAGTTAGAGATGTTATTGTACCTAATGTGGCGGCAAAGTAATTACACTAAGTTAAGCTGTATAGAGAGATAAATTGTCATTTTTTATATGGATGAAACAGGTATGGGTGAATGCAGGTCAGTAATTATAAGTTTAGTTCTTGGAGGATTGTGGAAGATTGTCATTATTTTGTATTATTGTCTATAATATTTTGTGTAATTATCTATATTACATGTTTTTTTAGCGCACACTGTTAAAAAAAAACTGGGTTGACAGAAGTTAACTCAAGACAGCAAGCGTTTTTAGAAGGTCTGAGTACAGGTGTGAAGAATCCAACCTCAAAGGGACAGCGATTGATCATTTTTCATTTTAGAAATGACAATGGTTTTGTAGGTGATGACGGTAGCTGGGTGTTTGAATCCAAAGGCACCAGTGACTATTATGAATCTATGTATGCTGCACAACTTAAAAAGTGGTTTGAGACAGTTCTGCCTAAATTGGGTGAGAATGCAATGGTAGTCATGAATAACGTGCCTTACCACACAAGCCCCCAGGAAAATATACCCAGTACAAATTGGTTGAAAGCTGATATCCAGGAATGGCTATGTGAGAAATATATTAGCTACAAGGAAATAAAAGTACAGTTATTAAATAATGTAAAATTGGTAAACATTCAATACCAACTTTTTGCAGTAGACTAATTGGCATAGAAATACAGTCGAGGTAGTAAGACTTCCTCTGTATCATTGTGAACTTAACCCCATAGAGATGATTTGGGCCGATGTAAAGGGGCATGTAGCTACAAATAATAATTAATATTAATTATAATAATACCTTTAATTGGAAAAGTAAAGGAATTATCGAATGAGAGTATGTCAAAAGTTACACCTGATTGATGGTATATATGTATTGAGCACATTCAAAAGGAGGTGGACAAGTTTTACAATCTCAATTATATCATGGATGACATGATGGATAAATTTGTTATACGTAAAGCAGGTCCAGTTTCTACAGACTGAAGAATCTCCATCTGAACAAATTATTGAAAATTTCTACAGTCTAGCTATCACAGTTCATGAGATACAGCCTAGTGACAGATAGAGGGACAGTGGAGTCATAGTAATAGGGTCCTGTTTTACCCTTTGGGTATGGAACACTAAAAAGGATTATAAAAGATGTTTCATTGTTGTCCTTATTTTCAGAATTAATTAACGTGATTTTAGCTTTTTAAAATATTAATTATATTAATACAGTTTTCTACATTTTATACAAATATATGTCTATTAAAATGATGTCTTGTTAATTTTCATATATATGTCGGCGGATGGCGTCTCACTCGCTCCTTCGAAACGTTAAACTGACAACAAATGTCATCAGTCAGTGTACCAATGGTTTGTGAAACGTCAAGTAATGACAGTGACAGCTGTCATCACTTGGGAGTGGTCTATGATAAGGGTAGTATTTATGGGGGTAACGCTTCATTGGAAGGGGCATTCGGCATTCGGCATAGGGATGTCGAAAGTGAAAAAAAATATCGATACATCGATATTTTTAAAAATATCAATATCGGCTTCGATATATCGAGAAAAAAATATCGATATATCGAATAAATAAATAATGAAAATAAATGTATTAAATTCAGTCTAGCTCAATGCTCAATATTGTCCATAGTAATTTTCGTGCAAAATGTGCACTATTTTAATGAACATAATATCTCAATAAACAGGAAGGTTAATTACAATATTGTTTTTATTAGGCAAAATTACAAAAATATCAAGAAGTAAAAAGCTATCTTCTAACTTTAAGATCTGTTTAAGATATCAGACAAACCAGTATTTGTCTGGTAGTGAAAGTAAAAAGACTCTGCTCTTTACATGCTCAGCAGTCAGTCGGCTTCTATTGTTAGGAACCGCCTGATTTACGGCAGAAGCTACTCTCTCTGAAGGTACAGAGGAAGCCGTAGGTGTTAAGTATTTAAGTGACAAATTTGAAAGAACTGGGGTGAAATGTCTTGTGTCGATCCAAAATTTTATCGGGTTTTCCTTACGGGATATATTTGGAGCATCCAAGAACTGCTTCAACTCGTCCGGCATTCTGTTACTTCGAGAGGCTATATTAGCTGCATTGTCGTTGGCTACAGCAACTAGAAGCTGTTCGTGTCGAGACCATAGTGACTCTGATTCTGACGTTAAAGAACTTTGTGTTTCAGAAATTATGCCAGCATTCAAATTAGGCGAAAGCTGTCCTCGTCGCTGGTGTTCCGCGCGTATTTCCTCTGATAGCTCAGTTATTGCTTTTGAAATAGCAAGTGGGGAACTGAAGTGCATACGCTTGAAACGCGGATCTAATATCGTAGCTTATCCAAGTATAAATTTTGCTCCAAGGGCCTTAGTCGTGTAGTAACCCCTTGCAACAAACTAGTTTTTACGGCAATACCTAATAATGTTGAGGGCTTTTCGTGTTCCAGTCCTTGCACCAGCAAATTAGTAATTGGTATTGCTAAACTAGCACTCACATAATGATCGCCACTAATGTCTTCAGTGGCCTGCTTAAATGGTGTAAGCAGTGTTATTAGCTCTCGGATGACATTCAGCTGCGATGATGTTAGCATATCTGGTGCATTTCTTCTACCAGATAAAATTTTAGCCACTATAGCTGCCAGCTTATTAAATCTTTCTAACATATCTAGGCACGAATTCCATCGAGTACTGACCGACTGGATGAGTGTGAGCACTTCTCCTTCTTTTTTTTGAAGACTCTGTTGCTCTGCTCTTAATTCATCCATAGCATTGACGGATTGCTTAAAATATGTTACAATAGATTTGACTTGATTTGCAAGTTCCAGAACAGGTGAATTATCTTTCGTCAATGCGGCATCTACTACTAAATTGATCAAATGTGCCATACAAGGTATTCTCTTGTTGTCCCCCAAGAATTTCTTCACTGCCAATACCATATTACTACCACCATCTGTGGTCATTGAATGGATACTGTTTTTTTCTATTGAAAACTCTTTTAAAATATCTTCAAAACATTCTCGGATGTAATCAGCTGTGTGCGCCTATAGTAAAAAAAGAAATTATTAATTTCACCACAAAAAAATAAAAACGTTTTTTTTGTAGATTCGGCTAAAGTTTTTGATATTTAAAAAAATAAATTCTACTAATACTTACTTGATACATTCTCTGTGCTGTCAGCGTCACTGTCTCTAGCTCTGGAACAGAGTTTTCTGAGGCATTAAAAAAATGCGCTGTCATAACTAGAAAACTCCTTGTCGAGTTAGTGAGTGTTAATATATCACTTGTCAATGCTATATTTTCAGTCTCCCTTAGTTTATTTTTTAAGATAGCTTTCGTAGTAATATATCGCTGATCGACTAAGCTGGTTACCTACATACAATGAATAATGAACAAAGATGATAATGAAAAAATAGACAAAATAAAACATTAATAAAATATTTAAGTTTGATTACCGTAGTTCGAGAAGGAAACTTGTAGCGTGGACAAATAACGCTCGTGAATTTTTGTAATCCAGGTTTTTCTACGCATGAAAAAGGCATGTTGTCTTTACAAATCATATAAACTAATGCTTGATTTATTTCGTATGTTTTTTGTCCTCCAGCTGTAAGCAAGAAGCAAGAATAAATTGAAAATAGAGTTAGAGAATAAAGAGCTATAAAAATATCAGAAAAGAGCAACATAAATTAGAAAATCACCTTCATAAAGAAAATATAACTAGAAAAAATTCCACGCGGACCAGGCAGCAGACGGGACTCGAACCCGCACCCTTCGCAATCCGGGCGAATGCACTGACCAATTATGCTACCGCGGCCCTCACGGACCGCGTCGAAATTCTTTCTAGCTATTCTTAAGCTGCAAGGCAGCGCCATCTCTTCGCATTATAGGTAAACCCACAATGTCAAATGAATACTTTTACAAGTATTAAACATTTGAAAGAAGAAATAGCAATTATAGTTATAATTTTTATTATTTTTAAAGCATGTAACTGCTTGATGTTTAAATCTAAAGAAAATATAACTAGAAAAAATTCCACGCGGACCAGGCAGCAGACGGGACTCGAACCCGCACCCTTCGCAATCCGGGCGAATGCACTGACCAATTATGCCACCGCGGCCCTCACGGACCGCGTCGAAATTCTTTCTAGCTATTCTTAAGCTGCAAGGCAGCGCCATCTCTTCGCATTATAGGTAAACCCACAATGTCAAATGAATACTTTTACAAGTATTAAACATTTGAAAGAAGAAATAGCAATTATAGTTATAATTTTTATTATTTTTAAAGCATGTAACTGCTTGATGTTTAAATCTAAAGAAAATATAACTAGAAAAAAAAAAAAAAAAAAAAAATTAAAAATAATAAAAATTATAACTATAATTGCTATTTCTTCTTTCAAATGTTTAATACTTGGAAAAGTATTCATTTGACATTGTGGGTTTACCTATAATGCGAAGAGATGGCGCTGCCTTGCAGCTTAAGAATAGCTAGAAAGAATTTCGACGCGGTCCGTGAGGGCCGCGGTAGCATAATTGGTCAGTGCATTCGCCCGGATTGCGAAGGGTGCGGGTTCGAGTCCCGTCTGCTGCCTGGTCCGCGTGGAATTTTTTCTAGTTATATTTTCTTTAGATTTAAACATCAAGCAGTTACATGCTTTAAAAATAATAAAAATTATAACTATAATTGCTATTTCTTCTTTCAAATGTTTAATACTTGTAAAAGTATTCATTTGACATTGTGGGTTTACCTATAATGCGAAGAGATGGCGCTGCCTTGCAGCTTAAGAATAGCTAGAAAGAATTTCGACGCGGTCCGTGAGGGCCGCGGTAGCATAATTGGTCAGTGCATTCGCCCGGATTGCGAAGGGTGCGGGTTCGAGTCCCGTCTGCTGCCTGGTCCGCGTGGAATTTTTTCTAGTTATATTTTCTTTAGATTTAAACATCAAGCAGTTACATGCTTTAAAAATAATAAAAATTATCACCTTCATAGCTTGAACTTCTTTCCAATATGTCCATGAGTGTAGGTTGTTTTGTTACTTGTTTGAATTGATTATTTAAAACGGAAATAGATGATTCTCTCTGAAAAACAAATATCCACATTTTTAATTCATCGATATATCGATACTTTTTGGAAACTTACATCACTCATTACTGAGACTGACTAAGCACTTATTTAGTTTAGTTATACTTACATTATAATTTTCCTGACTGGTTGTACACAATGACAAATCCGCTGCATTTTCAATTTCGACGTCTTGAGCAATGTTAGTTATACTAGCTGAAGTTGAAGTTGAAGATTGTGAACAAGTTTCGAATGGCAGTCTTCGTTGCTGTTTCAATGCGGATTTTCTAATTTTAGGTTCTGAATTTATTATTGACTTGCCACCAACATTTTTTAGCTCTGAGAATGCATGGTAATGCTTGTTTCTTAAATGTGTTGCTAAATTTGACGTATTGCCACTACTTTTATAATTTTTACCACACAAATTACAAGTTAGATTATATTTATTGGTCTTTTTAAAAAAAAACCACACAGTACTACTGCTGGACGACGACATAATTCACGTTGTGAAACACAAATTCCAAATAAGAAAAAAGTTATCAATTTACGAAATTGAGGTTGTTCTGGTAGGTACCGACATCACTCGCAAACAGTGTTTCTACTTTAGTTTAGTAAATAAGTACCCACGTTCTGTCATAGTGCATTCTATCGTAGCGCAACATTAAATGGGGAATTCCCGACAAAGGCCGACCTACGACCGATACCATAGTATCTTTAATTTATATAGAGTCGGGTTCAGTTTTTAGTTTTTCTTTAAAGATTTGGTACCCTACTCTATGAATCCCTTATGATGAAATAAAAAGTTGCTAGAAAAAATAGCTAAATAGTTAAGCTACAAATTTTATTAAATTGTAGCTGTGTGATACCTATAGATGTAAAACAACCGATTTAAAACGTTTTAATCAAAATGTTGCAGTTTTAAACCCCAACTAAATCGTTTTAAACGGTTGAAAACTGGCATACAAAAATAAAAGAACTATGTTTTTTACACTTCATTATGGTAAATTTTTGGTCACCTGACGTCATGTTTCGTTTTACTTAGTAGGTATAAAGAAAATCAATAGAAAGTACCTACGTACATTACCTAGGTACCACGAAAACTTAAGTGGGTATGTACTTAAGTAGGTACCTTCATACCTGTGATGTTAAGAAAAAGACCAAATTGTTAGTTTAGTTTTGTACTGTTGATTATTGAATAAATACCTAAACGCTCAGATCAAATAAAAACTTTTTATTTGATCCTGACCTTGGTTGCGGATTTACCAACTAGAACTAAACTCGCTAAGTAGGTATATCAATATCAGTAAGTATATCACACATTTAAAAAAAAATTATACAGTTTATAGATACTCCGTTATATTCCTACCTCGGTAAAATCAAGACAATGAAGTCGATTCTGGCGTGATTCTCTAATCTTAAAGCTAATATCAGTCTCTCCTTTTCATGCTGTTTAGAGAATAATAAGGATACACTGGTATCGATTCAGGCACGATTCTCTATAACTAAACTTAAATTTGACAACAGTGTATCCTTGTCATTCTCTATACAGAATGAAAAGGAGAGACTAATATTAAATTTAGTTTTAAGTTTAGAGAATCACGCCAGAATCGACATCACTGTTGTCAAATTTAAGTTTAGGTTTAGAGAATCATGCCAGAATCGACACCAATGTAGTTATAATTAAGAAAAAGATAGTCATCAACACCAACCGTTTTAAATCGAAAAAAGGTTCATTTCGGTTTTAAACGGTTTTTTTTCGTTTTAAACGGAGTGTCCGTGATGCTAGCGTACCCATGATCAATATACGGTTTTTCGTTATGCCATTAAATACTGCGTAAATAGTGCCAATTTAGTGTAAAAATAAAAAAAATAGTGCCTCTTTAATTAAAGAAATAAAGACCATTTTTACTGTGTACGCTACCATGACGTCAAGCTAGCGTACCCATGGCCGACCCCAAGAACGGCATATATTTAAGCAACAAAATTGACACACAAAAATAGTTCGCAAATAGTGCCCTGGCTTTACAAAATTTCATAATCAATACTCTTAAAGGACCAAAGATATTGAACTAAACATTCTTAGCTGGCGTCAACCTGGCGTACCCATAATAGTTCTCATAGAAAATTAACTTTTCTTGTTATCAATTCTATATGTATAAATAGTGTGTCAAATAGTGCCTCTAACAGTAAAAGTATTTTATGTTAATTCGCAGTAAAACAATATAAAAAAAGCAATTAAATTATTTTTATATATGAAGTACAGTCATGTACAGAAGTGATAATATTTTCGTATAGTATAGTAGGTAAGTAAGGTACTTAGTAGGTAGGTAGGTTGAAATTCTTATATGAATTTATGATTGGTGAATTCGAATTGAAATATAATATCTTTTTATAAAAAGTACCTATTTATTTTAGTAAAAATACATATATAGATAATCTCTTAGTGCATAAATTAATTTTGTGTGTAACTGTACTACAATACATTTGTTCCTAGAATTTAACACCCTCTTTATGTATTGTTGTGATGCGGATTCACATAAAATACTTTTACTGTTAGAGGCACTATTTGACACACTATTTATACATAAAGAATTGATAACGAGAAAAGTTCATTTTCTATGAGAACTATTATGGGTACGCCAGGTTGACGCCAGCTAAGAATGTTTAGTTCAATATCTTTGGTCCTTTAAGAGTATTGATTATGAAATTTTGTAAAGCCAGGGCACTATTTGCGAACTATATTTGTGTGTCAATTTCGTTGCTTAAATATATGCCGTTCTTGGGGTCGGCCATGGGTACGCTAGCTTGACGTCATGGTAGCGTACACAGTAAAAATGGTATTTATTTCTTAAATTAAAGAGGCACTATTTTTATTATTTTTACATTAATTTGGCACTATTTACGCACTATTTAATGGCATAACGAAAACCCGTATATTGATCGTGGGTACGCTAGCATCACGGACACTTAAACGGATTGGTTTAATTAGTTTTAAACCGGCCCTACTTCTATAGTGATACCAAATAATAGCTAGATCTAGCTATAAAGTTGCTAAGTTGGCATCACTGCTCGCAAAATGATGAACGGAACGACTGCTACCACAGACTACTTTGCTACATACACATAATTCACAACGTAAACAAAACAAATACTCAACAGTCATAGACAATATAGTTTTTTTTTTGTTGTTCTCCCATTTTGCGAAGGCAAAGGTTTTTTTTGTTCGTTCTTATCTTTTACGGTTTTTGATCCCAGCGACTTCAGTTCCATAATTAAAAAAATATATCGTTTCCGATACAAATTTCGATACTGGATATTTTGTATCGATATTTCGATATATCGGATCAATATATATCGGTTAAAAATATCGATATATCGATACTTTTTCAGCAAGCCTAATTCGGCATTCAGACGTGAGCCGCAGTAGTGAACAGACGCACAGAACTCTCCGCGCTTCACAAAGCAATCCGTTTGTACCTTGGCAATCATAACTGATTTTGTAAGGTAATAAGAAGATTCAAATTAAACGTTAGCTTGGTCACTAGACTACAGTTTTATTTTCGGGAAATATCATTGAATAACCAAGATGGCGGATCAAGAAAAACCACGTGGCCAACCGCGTATATTACCGCTCGCCCACTCCGACATCAGAAGTAGGATCTGCCCATCTCCCACGTAGAAGTAACGAAGATATGTGGCGTGGTTTATTGGAGCAGCAGAATCAAAACTTTTTGGCGATCATCGAGGCTATGAAGGATTCGCTACCTCAGCTACCTACAGCGAAGCCGTCATCTGTTTCAACTGCCGAGGCGTCGGGCACTACGCGAGGAACTGCACCAAGGCGATTGAAAAGGCGACTGGTACTCCAGCTTCATCCGCGGAGAAGAGGGTCGACGTGTGTGAAATCACAGCTCCATGTGGCACATTGAGACACTCAGATGAGGAGTATTCATTTTATTGTGATTCTGGTGCCGAGTGTTCATTAATTAGAGTTGCTAATGGGTAGGGTATAGTGGATTTTAATGCTAGAATTGTAGTGCCCATATGGGGAAGTAACCACTACCTTACAGGGACTACAGTAAAATAACTCTACTGTTGGTAAAATAACACGACTCTAACCGTGGTTGTGGTTCTGTCGGTAAGTAAGGTTCCAGGGCACCACGGGTTAGGGAATTGGGTCAGGGTAGATAGCGGCGCGAGTAATATTTGTGGTATCGCAAACGTCTATAGGGTGTCGTAGGCACTTACCATCAGGCGGGCCATATGCTTGTTTGCCACACTTTTGACATAATAAAAAAAGGTCATTGAGGTATAAGAAAGAGATCGGTATACGTTGAAGGCATAAAATTCCAGACGCATATGACTGGTTCAGAAAAATGCCCAAAAATAATGTTCCTACTGAGACTAGTGATATAGACGATGTAGAGCCCACTGACCAATATTCTGTGTGTATGTCTGACTAATTAGATGACTGTCTATTAAACTATCTTGGTTGATTTTAATTATGCTTTGCTAAGCTCGGAGAGCTGATGTATTGCTCGATTTAGGCAATATGTTGGCTGGGTTGCTTGAGGCAACGTGTGGTTATCGTCACTTAGAGGTGGCAAGGTTATCGTCACTTTATAGGGACCGTTACTTGTTAAAGGCATTAGATTCCAAAAGAACATTCAGGTATGCCCACGATAGACTGAGAAGGATGCCTGAAGCTCAAATAATTTTAGAAGAGTTAGTTGATCAGAGTGATCATGTAACCGAGGTTTCCGACACATTGCGTGATTGAGTTCGGTAGCACTTGATGGAGGTGTTACTGAGGCTAGGTATAGCACAACGCTTGATGGAGGCGTTGTTGGCTATGTGCTTGATGGAGGCACTGTTACATAACGCTTGAGGGAGGCATTAGGTTTTATTTGTTAGACATTTGGAGGGTATAATGCTTGATGGAGGCATTATGCGTTCATTTAAGTGCTTGATGGAGGCACTGTAGAGAATCGCGGCATGTGTTCGGAATGTTCAGATGCTAAGTTTAAATTTGATTTTGAGCTAAAACTTCAGAAGTCCTTTGAAGTCGATTAATTATGGGCTACTTTTAGTTAGTATGTAATAAACCTGTTCATAGTTGTAAAAAAGGCTTTGACAAATGTCATGTATAACTGCGTTTTATTGGTCAGAGATGACCGAGCAATGGTAAATACTACTATGATATTTCTTTACAGACGCACACGAGGACGTGTGATGCTGCAGGATGGCCGTGTCGGCGGATGGCGTCTCACTCGCTCCTTCGAAACGTTAAACCGACAACAAATGTCATCAGTCAGTGTACCAATGCTTTGTGAAACGTCAAGTAATGACAGTGACAGCTGTCATCACTTGGGAGTGGTCTATGCTAAGGGTAGTATTTAAGGGGGTAACGCTTCATTGGAAGGGGCCAAGGGGCATTCGGCATTCGGCATTCAGACGTGAGCCGCAGTAGTGAACAGACGCACAGAACTCTCCGCGCTTCACAAAGCAATCCGTTTGTACCTTGGCAATCATAACTGATTTTGTAAAGTAATAAGAAGATTCAAATTAAACGTTAGCTTGGTCACTAGACTACAGTTTTATTTTCGGGAAATATCATTGA